GCGGACGGGCCCCAGTGTGGCCGAGCGGCCCTCCTCGGAGGGTGCTCCCCAAGCCCCTGAGAGGACGTTCATCCGGGCCAGTTTGCCCATCAAGCCTAGGCCTGCCGGCATGGATGCACCCCGTTCCCGGGAGTCGAAAAAATCCATGACCTTCAATTTGGGTCCTACAGGCTCCGGCGACCCATTTGCCGTGAGCCGCTGGAGGCACCAAGCACGGGAAGGGATGGACTTGGAGGGCGGTGGGGTTCTCCAGCCTTCCAAGGAGGAGCTCTTTAGGAGGGTGCTGTGGCAGCAGGAACAACTGCATTCCTTGGAGGCCCACGGGGACACCCTGGAGACGGACCTACGGCTCTGGGAGCGTGGCCGGCTTGTTGGCCAGGAGGACGAGATCCTCTACCTGGAGCACCTGGTGCGGAGGAACGAGACGGAGCTTGGCGAGGAGGAGTTTTGGCAGAGTGAGCTGCGGCTGGAGAAGGAGTGTGAGCGGGAGCGGCAGGAGCGAGTTAGGAGCCTGCGGGCCAGCCTGGAGGAGTACACTCAGAGGATCTACGAGCTGAGTGCCCGGACTGAAGCTCTGCAGGAGGAGATCCAGTGGGAGATGGCCGAGAGGACCAAGAGGGGGAAGGAGACCCCTGTGCCCAGCCCCACAGAGCTGGAGGACATGGCTGCCAAGATGAAAAGGGACCTGGAGGCCAAGGTCAAGCAAGGCACCCAGCTGGAGAGCAACCTGGCCTGTGTGGAGAAGGCCCTGGAGGAAGCTGAAAGAAACCTGCAGGTAGATAGGACTGGGTTGAGCATTCCCATGGGGTGGTGGACCCTTCAGGAGGGGATAGGACCAGCTTTCCAGCAGCATGGGGCTGATGGGTTGAGTGGGGTTAGTCCTGCCTCACCTGGCCAGTGAGTGTGGGGCTGGGTGCATGGAGGTGGCTCAGCAGCACTGACCGCTCTCGGGAGGACACTGTCACTCTTACAAGGTCCCATACCCATTGCTCTCAGTGCACGCTGTGTCTGGGCTGGGAGTCCTGCTGGCTGGTGCACGGGGAGTGCAGCATCACCCTGGTCCAGCATGGATGATGGCACATGTGGAGCAAATGGTCCATGTGTGGGTTCAGTGGCGTTGGCGCAAGGGTCAATGTTGTCTTGGATAAAGGAGTTGCGGAGGGGGTCTAGCGTAGCTCCCCATGGTGCCTGTGCATGAAGCCTTTTGACCATGCAAGCTGTGCAGGGGCTCGGGCTCATCATGGAGGGCTCCACAGCATGGAGATAGTGGCTGTGGGGCTGTGCCATGATGCCCCCCAACTCGCTTGTCCCGGCATCAGGGGGTCCAGGTGCTGGGTGACACCCACCGTCTGCCCACGGGGGTGGGGGGCGGGCAAAAGGGAGAAGTTTTTGCTCAGCCAGGTGGTGGTAGCTGCCCTTCCCCAGGGCAGCAGTGCTTCCAGCATCTCGAGCTTCTCGTTTGATGGCTACTCACACCCTCTTGTGGAGATGCAGCAAAGCAGGGCTGTTCCCAAAACAAGACCTTCCTCTTGTTCCCGCTGCCTGGGCACCCCCTTTCCTGCAGGCCCTCGGAGAGGCGTGGCTGAGCTGTGGTACCCCCCCCCTGCACTGGCTCCAGCAGGGTGAGCCCCAGCTAGGGGAGCGGCCCTGGGGGTGGTATGCCAGCTGGTTTTGGGGCATGGGGGGGACATGCAGCTCATCCTGTTCCCCCCTCGGTGTGTGTTTTGCAGGCCCAGACCCAAGAGCTGGAGGAGTTAAATAAGGAGCTGAGGCAGTGTAATTTGCAGCAGTTTATTCAGCAGA